CTACCTAATAGCGCAACAACAGCATCAACAACATGTAGGAGACCACTTGCCACATTCTACATACATATATGTATACATATGTACATATTCATGCCCCAAAGTGATTTTGGAAAAAAACCCCGATGACTCATCGACAGAATAGTAAATATGTATGTATAAATAAGCGGGAACGGTGTGTACACGTGCCTACAAAACGTGCACAAAAAAAAGGAGAGACAACAACAACGTCAGGAAAATTAGAAAACAAGTTCATCCCGAACAAAAACAAAACGCATGCATAACATTGAGGTAAAGCCGCATAACAAAACGTCAACAAACCAGCTGCGCGCCAATTTGCTTTATGCGGCATAAATATTTGTGTGGATGTGTGTAAATATATATCTGTGACGTGTTGGTGTGTACATTAGGGCGGATCAAATTTTTTATCTACTTTGTTTTGTGGACCGACGTATGCTTCTTAAAATTCTGCTCAAAAAAGTCCATGAACATTTTTAATTTTAATTATTAATTACTAACCAATTTCTTTTTTACTTTGTAAAATTTTGTTTGAAGAAAATGTATGTGTGTGGTTTTTGGGCACTAGAAATTAATATTTTTTATACGAAATTTCATTGTCATATCTACGTAGTCACTGCAGTTCTCGTACTTTTCACGCCCTTTTTGATCGCGTATACGTATATCATTACGAAAATGCAGTATTTTGTCTATTTAATGGTCGCGAATTGCTTTGCTCTCATCAAATAAAATATTTAACAAAATATTTTCGCTATGTGCTTAAAAGGAGTAATTTTGTATAATAGATTTTATAATTTCGAACAAAATGTTCTTGCAATTATTTCAATCAATGGAGTTCCAGAAACAAGTACAATAAAATAAATGTTAGCCTTAAAACGTTTATTTAGGTGAGAAAGAACCGAAATTACTAATTTTTTAATTGTCAATCGAAAAAATCATGATAGTTTTTTTTAATAGCTTCGGTAAGTTTTCAAGTAGAATGTTCATATTAGAAGCAATGGAAGTTGGCATCAAATACGACATATCTGTGAAGTTTAAAGAGTGTGCAACCAAATTTAAAAAAGAAATGGCAGCATGCAGAATATCTTTCGCAGCTATTTTTAAATACATATTTCAACTTATTAGATTTTTATAATTTTAATAATTTTAGATAATTCAAAATGTTACAATAAAAATTCTTGTACTTCTTGCTAAAACGACGAACGAATCTAGTGTAATAAAACTAGTGTGTTGCCAAATGAAAAAAAAATATGAAGAAAATATAAATAAAAATTACTTGTTAGTATTCCTTTTTTAAGTTTTCATTTAAACGCAATTTCGCGATGGAATCTTGTTCTTTATAAAAAAAACTGAAGATAATGCGTTTTCTAAGATTGGTGAACCACCATTTTCGACCAAAAACACGTTTTGAGATTTGCTCATATATGAATTTAGATAATATTTAGCACACTACCATAAATTGCTGAACTATGCAAACAGTTCAATAGTTATAACATTTTTAATGAAAACGAATTTTTTACATGTTGTTTACATGGAAAATTTCAAATTTCCACCAACACCTTTTAAAAATTTAATAAAAATTGTTCCAAACGGGAGGTAATTTTAAAGCCATAAATTCGTTAGGTTAGTTATTTGGATCAACCTAATGTATGTATAAAGTCCATTTTTGAAAATAGTACTTTCCTGTAGCGCCCATGTCTTCTGTATGTAATGTATCTTGTTAAAAATTCTAAATGTTTTAATTTTAAGATTCCTCGATAAAAAAGCGAAACAAGTGTTGTTACCAAAGCCACAATAAAATCTTCGTTTGGTCAACATAATTCTTAACCCTGAGCTACTGGGCTTAAAAAAAGTATATGTTAAGAAAAAAAAAACAAAATAGCGAAATAGTTATTCATATATTTAAAGCGAACAATTTTGACAAGTTTCACAATGACTGGGAACTAGGGAATGTTTTAAGTAAGGAAATTTGGTTGGCTCTTTCTATGTATATCGTGTAAGATCAAAAAAAAATATTAAAAAAATTTTAAAATTTACAATATTTTTTTTTTCTAAGTTGCAGCAGGTATTACAAATATCAGTACTGTTCTAAATTCCTGCCAAATTCCCTGACAGATATGTTCTGATTGGTAGGATTCCTTCTACTGGATAAAAATTCCACAGGAATCCGTAATAAAATTTACATTTTTACATTTGCCATTTTATGCAAATATTTGAAATCGGTAGATAACTCTCTTGCCTTTTCTTCGGGGAAATATATTGCAATAGAATCGGTTGGAAATCATTTTTAGAGCTATGAAGAATAGAATACTTCAGTCGCCGAAGCAAAGTCGGTTACATTTTCTATGAGCAAATTAACCCGCTCTAATATACATATTTATGTTTATATGTTTATATACATGTGAATGTTTGCACTTTGTATAGCATACCTGGACAGTGAGAGTGTAGTATCTGCTAGATACTTTAATTGCAAACTACGTTTTGACTCCTTAGGTTACACATATAAGATATAAGATATGTTTGTATGTATGTACTTATGTACGCATTTCGTCTCCAACTTTTCACTCCGATGTAATCGCATGAATACGTTTATGAGCTGAGTTTATGTACGCACATTATCTAAAAAACGTTTAATGGAAAAAAATCTCAACTCAACTATTGAGCGTACTGTTCAGGGGGATATACTCAAGTAGACGTTCATAAGCACTGTGGACTTCAATAACAGTTTAATGTTAACTTTTAAATTTCTCGCATGCGATAATTAAGACCTGCTCTGATATATGAAAAATGTGCATACATATATATGTATGTCGTCTAATTGTAGCTTTTACAGAGAGTTTTCGAAATAACTACGTAAATAGCTACAATGAGATTAATTTTAATAAGCCGTTAATATTAACAGTTGCATATATTTTTATTGAATTAAACCACTACTATACAAACTATAAATTAATATTCGCATATCTGATTAAAAAATGCAAATATCCGAATATCCGGAATATCCGTATGCCTACACACCTCGGTTATGTCGATTAAATCTTCAAAAAATCCTGAACCCTTGAACTTTTCTCTTTTTCTATAAAGTCCGGGCATTCGGCATTCGCATAACAGGTGACGCAAGGCTTCAGTCTCTTCTTCATTTTTGCAGCTTCTGAAGAAGTCGCTATGGGGGACCCCTAACCTCTCCGCGTGTGCCTGCCGATAGAAACATGACCTGTTAGCAGACCGACGGCTGTGGCTGCTTAGCATGAGGAGATCCTTCGACCATTTTTCGTCCCATTTTGACAACGTAAGTATAGTCTTGCTGCACGTGGTGAGACTAGCCCATCTGTCGCTTGCTAGTTTAAGAGTTATGCCCCTTAGAATGAGCTTGCAGGTAATAAGCGGCATGCGTAAACCTTTCCAGGATAGCGAAAGTGGAGCGGATGGGCCCTCTCTTGCAAGTTTGTCTGCCCTTTCTTTGTCTGGTATGTTCCGGGACCTCTCCACCCATACCAACTGAAGAGCAGACTGCTGAACCATCTGTTTTAGTGTGGCCTGAGAAGATGAAGATATTATTACATATCACTTCCACTGTACGTAGATGTTCAACCGCCTCCTGTATAGCAGCGACTTTAGCTTGCAAAACGCTACTGAGAAGACCCCCTCCGTACCTTGCCGTTTAGTTTAAAACCATCGATGTAGAAGTAGGTCAATCCCCTCCTGACCAAAATTCTCTATCTGGAATGGAAATTATATACCTCTTTGTAATGTTCAGATTTGGTGCACTTGGTACGGCCATTCTGAGTGCCTCTCCAGCCGCGTAGTTACCGCAGCCTCAAGCCGGCGCACGCGGCTGATAGTTGTCCAACGATCTTGATTGGCAGAATATTGAGCAAGATATTGCCTCCGTTGGAATTGTGCGTAGAGCCCCACAGATTTAGAGCATCGGAGTTCTTTTCACCTTCTTAAGTGCTTCAATTGTGGATTTTAAATTGTAAGTCTGTGAAAACTTTTCCCGCAGTATAACGACAGTAAGAACCTATCTCAAGGATTCCTCAAATTACGCATTTTCCGCAGTTCAGAATATCAATACACCGGTTTGGCCAATTTTTGGTAACATTAACGATAATTTCATAGAGAATATGCCGGCGATTTATGGGAAGGAAAATCATAGCGCCCACAATTTTGACTCTAGAAATATTTTTTTTAGTTATGTACTTCTAATGGACTGTAAATTACGGGTTCAAAAGATGTACGTGTTTCCATAAGTACAATATTTTATATGGGCATTGCCAGGGGACAATCTTTATAGTCAAAAATTAAATGTGATATATCCATGTGAGTTACGGTCGAATCTGGTATATTTTTTTTTCAATGTAGGGGGGTGGTTCCAGAAGTACCCGGCCTAACCAAGAGATGGCGGTAGTGGTTTGAAATATATCACTGTGTCAAAAAGTACAAAATCTATAAAGTATATGTTTCAAGTTTGATTGCACATGCAGGAATATTTTTGCAGAAAATTTACCCGTTAGGTATCGCCGGTGTGGTAATATTTTGAAAGCCCGAATTTATGGACCGATTTCGTTAAAATTTTCGACATGTATTAGAAATATATAAAAATGTCCCGCTAGATAGCGCTTTAGTCGAAATATTAACTAATATAATTTGATTTATAATATCTTCGCACCATTTTTTCAGCAGTTTCCAACTTTTACAATAAATGTAGTGTTTAAAAACGGCTATACAAAAAAAAAAAAAAACAAAAAAAAAAATTTATTAAATTACATTTCCTTACCCCACATCTAAATTCGATTTCACCTAAATCGCCCAATTTACGCACTGTGCGGCGTCTACTTTCAGAAAACCATAGTGAAATATGATGAATCAGATTGAAACTGGTTTGGGTCGTATTAATTTAAGAAAATCTATCAAAAGTCACAAAAAAAAATATTCTTAATGCATCTCTCAATTGTAAGGGTCCAGCAATCCGGAACCCACTGTTGCTCATTGTTCAACAATTGTATCTGTGGGATTCAGAAAATTTCCAGAAGCAAACTAACTATAAAGCAATTCGAAATAACAGTGTAGTCAATGCCAGAGATAATTTGCGTTAGACAGGGACAACCATAATGTCACTTGTGTTGGCCAGGCGGTGGAATAACTGAGGTAATGGTGTTGGTGGTGGTGATGATGTTTCTGTTACTTATATGTACATGCTAATACTACAGCTGCTGATTGTGATTGTGCCAAGAAGAACGTGGTACGTGGATTTAGTTATTTTTCGCTTTTTGTTAAAGTAACGACGAATTGCAACGGCGCGACGTATTTTAAATACATTCCTGTATATTTTTTATTACACTGCTTCATTGTATTTTTCGAGTGTGTTTTCCCCCAAACGACAAAACAATAAAAAATACGATAGTACTACTCGTATATTCAGTAACAAAAAAAAAAGGAGTGGTGCTAGTGCATACGTATCGGAGTATAGCGCATATCTGTGCATATACATACATATGTATGGATTTTACTCCTACAAACATACACATATACACGTAGGGGGCATACGTACATGCATACAGTTGTGGTTATAGATGTATGTATATATGTATGTGATGCAAACCTGCTTCTTAGCAGTGTCACAGCAACACTAACAACATTGAAAATTTTAAGTAGATTTCGTTGAAAAGATTAAGCAACATTTTTATGGTGATATCGAAATACATACATACTTATATCATAAACGGTTAAATGTGTTAAAGAAAGTTGGAATACCTTGCCTGATTTTGGATTAGGAAGGTGTAAATTTATTTATATTTTAATTGTACGACAATTTTTCATTAAAATCAACGTCAACCTAAAGAAGCGTAGACGTACAAAAAAAAAATATTGCCGAACCTTTTTCGATTTCTTTGCCGCGATCCGCAGTTAACCACCTAAATCGTCTATGTTTTTTTAGCACAAAATACAAAATTTTGCAAAAATTCAACAATTTACAACGACGCAGCGTACGATTTTTAATAGAGTAGAAAGCAAAAGCAAGCATAAAGTAAAACAGGGGAAAACGATAAAAGCGAACAAGTTTCAAACCGAATCGCATATGTACGTATTTATATGTATGTCCCTCAATGCCAATCGGATCGAAAAAGTCGCGTCGCACGGAGTTCAAGTGGTGAGGTGTGGGGAGTCTAGTGGTGCGAATTGATGCAGTTTAACAGTGACGGGGTGTGGTGCAACAACAACAACAGCAACAGCAAGTGGCACATAGTAACAACAAATAGAAAAAGTTTATACATTTTTGCAAAGGTTTTCATGTACACTTCGGCCAGTAGGATTCCAAAATCACATAGCAAATATTGAACTGGAAAAAAAATAATAGAAAATCAACGCTTGCTGCATATTTTACACAAAAACCAAAGAAAAGTATGTAAAGCATAAATCACTTGAAAATACATACATACATACTCGTACATACAAAAGCATAAAATTAATATCGTTCGGACGCATTTTATCACTTCCGCTACTTTCAACCACCCTACCTCCCTCCCTCCCTCTGGCTTTTCAGCTTTGTACTCGTCGTAGTTACTTATCGACTAACTGCTCGCTTGCGCGCGCCCCACATTGCAAGTATCTGCTGATAACCAACCGACTTTTGACAGCTGTTAAATACGCAGTGGCCAAACTGACAGCGACGATAGTTGCACATGTGACAAGTAACGATTGTTAAAAAGCGTAGTGTACGTATTTGTAGTAGTGTAGTGTGCCTCTCCCTGCAAAGTTAAAATAAAAAAATAAAAAAGAATTAAAAAAAAAATTATATGAGCCCATGCTGCTCGCTTAAATCAACATCAATTTATTTGATTAAACCTTTCTCATTTCCCCAAAATAGAACTAACAAAAAACAAAAAAACGAATAAGTAACAATGAAAGTTAAACTCGATGCCGCGAAAGCCAAAATTCCCCCCATACTCACTTCGGCAATGACCAGTCAAGAGGATGTCAACGATGTGTCCGCCGACGATAGAGCTTTAGCATTGAAGTTAGAGCGGCGCGCCGAAAAAAAAACAACAGAAACGCGACACTTCCATGTGGTGGCAGAAGATACAGAGGACGGGACGGACGAACTTGTAGAGGAGATTGCAGCTGAAGCTGAGCACATGCAAGAAGGGGATTTTGATGAAAATTCGTCGAGTCACAATTCATTTGATATTTTACCAGCATTATCAGCATTGACATCGACTACACCGACAACAACAAATGCTACACGGAATAATCTTATCGTAAGTGCGTAATACATACCAGCAATCACTCAATACAACTATCACCAATAGCTAGGGATGACAGCGATTAATCGTTTGATTTAATTAATCGATTATTTTTGTCCAATTTACGATTTTATTGTATCGTAGTCGATTAATTGTAGATTAATTGTAAAATAACCGTAAAAATATTTTCAAGAAATATGAATTCTGTAGCTGTCGAAAATTGCAAAAAGGCCCATTATTAAAGCTGCAAAACTAATGGTGATTTCGTTTCTATCAAACAATGTTGCCTTTTGATTGCCACTTTCTCGTTTCGTGTTCGATTCTAAATTAAAGGCAAAGGGTGAGAAAATTGTGTGTGCGTTTCTTAAAATGTCACACTCTTGTAAAACCAAAAAGTCACGTTCTCTGCCCTGTGAAGCTTTTTCAGGGAGAAATGGTTGCCCCGAAAATCAGATGGTTGTTTAAAACGACAATAACTATTATGAAATGCGTGAGATAGACAAGGATAAAAAGTCAAAAAATGCCTTTTTACAGGGTTGAGTGTAACATCAAACACATTTTAGCCCGGGGGAAGGGCAACATTTTTTGGAAGCAACGAAATCACCATAAGTATTTAGTTGCAAGTTGGTCAACCTTGAGGGAATGAAAACGGTTTACCCAAAACTTTACAGACTTTCGAATAAAATACTGTCATTTAGTTGGTACCTCGGTGCCTGCTAAGCGCCTTCTTTCAAAAGCTGGTGCCGAGAGACGCAACCGCTTAACAACAAAACGCTTATCAAAACTTTTGTTTTTGCAAAAATGGTTAAGTAATAAATAATTATCGGCGCTAAGAATACTCGTTTTATTTTATTTAATACTAATTAACAAGAGAATTAGAAATTTTTTTATGGAGAAATGTTTTTGTGAATACTCACTATAAAAAATTGCCATTAAAAATTCCATAAATTAATTATTTCTCAATAATCGCAATTAATTGCAAAAACTTTTATTTTTTTGATTGCCATTAATCAATCGATTATTATTATTATATTTTATCTCATCCCTACAAATAGTTTTAAACACACTAAATGAGTTATGCATACTTAGGCATTGCATAGTAAGACGTGAGAGTTGTCACATAAGGAAAATATTAAAAGAGCTTTGGGTGTAACAGTTGCCGCTCAATTGGTGCGCTAATCGTTGCGTTTTCCAGCGCGTCCATTATTTACGTTTTCCCAATTTTCGTCCTCTTTCTTTCATTCTGTTTTCTGCACAGAACGCCCTAGGGATAAAACGATACTAGTAAATTCAAGTACATACTCGATACTTTTCGTCCGATACCAAGTAATTTTGGTATCGATACTTTTGAACCGAGTACTAAGTAGGTATCGGAAGAATGTACTTGTATCGGAACCCAATTCAGTGACAATTTTATTCCCGGACTTTTATTTTTTAATCTAACTATTATTGGGAAAATCTAAAAATTTTTTGAAGCTTAGTTGCCAACGAAAAGAAAGTCCTACCAAGAAAGACCTATAAAAATATCGGTAGCTTTAAGTGAAAAGTTGCTAAGTCCACTTTTTGTGAAATCTCATATTTGAATATAGGAAGCAAGGTAACGTGGTTGTTTTATTTCTCCCCGTTTATATTCAATTAAAGGCAAATTTACTAAGTCCGAAAGAGGCACAGAAAAATCGATAGGCTCACAAACAACTCGAAATCTTTTAATTGCAACGGAACCTTCGGCAAAATTCTTGAAGGAATTGTTTTGAAAAGTTTTTTTTTTGTCCCCAGTAAATTTTCTAAAAACGGACTTGGCAACTTTTCACTCTAAAAATTATCAACATGATTACTTTTTTCAGAAATATACCAGTGTTACTCTGCAAAACTTCTGTTTAACAGTGATATATTACAGATGAGTTTTATTAATTAATTCAATTGTATGAAATAAATTATAAAATAACTGTTTTTAACGGTTTCTCTTTGTACAAAATAAATATACAGTATAACAAGTAAAATATGTACATACATATACATACATATGTACGGACTTGGCACTTGTTTTTTGTTTTTCGGGAGGTCATCTTAGTAAAACATGTTTTAAAACTTAAAGTTTTTCTTAAAAAGATGAAGTACCATTCTTCTAAAATCAAAAATGATAGTCACATAAATTATTTTGACAAAAATTCATTGATATGCGATAGCGTTTTTAATACAAACAATTCTTATATAGATATAAATATCGATATAAGTAGGTATCGATACTTCAAAAAACCTAGGATTAGTGATAGAACGATACGAGTACCGAGTACAGAATAGCGATACTTTTCATGAGTACTGAGTAGTATCGAGAACTCGATACTATTTCGCAAATACTGAGTAAATATCGCGAATGCCGGAAGGTATCGACGAGTTAAGAACTTTTTAAGTCAATGTTTTTTTTTAATTACCCAATAAATATTGTGGCGAACGTTCAATTATTAACTTCAATATCCAATATGAATGTTATGAAAATGAACATAATGCTCATTTACTGCAATAGGCACGCCTTTAAAGTTTTTAATTCACATATCGTCACCCTCATGTCAGAAGCATAAATGTGCAAATCTATCAGTTTTGAGTTATTGGGTTGACTTGGTTAATCTTTGGATGTTCTATGTTAAATATTTTACAATTTCAATGTAGAGTTAAGTTTCGCAAAAAAAAAGTTTCAAACTTGATTTCCCATAATTTTCATTGTTTTCATTCATACTAATAATTAATACATATTTACACATACACACACTTATGAAATTTCTACACAACCTAGAAGAAAATGTGTAGCGGTCATTTCAACATTGGCTTCGGGTAAAAATGTTTAATTAAATGAAAAACGAATATCTTGCCTCCCCTTTGGTAATGAATGGTGGAAGAGGATGGTCTTCTGACTTGACAACTTGCCCACTCTCCAGCATAAGTCAGCCGTCGTTAACCCATGTATTCGTCCTGCGTTGTGAATTCGAAATCCCGTCCATTCTTGAAGAACATTTTTATGAAAGAGATCTTATCTTACCAATAGAGAATGGGCTTCACCACATTTGCTTCTGGTTTTCTACATTTGCATTTCATTTTCGGAGTAAAGTTATTTATAAATACATGTACGCGTCAAACAATTATAAAATATTCGCTTTTAAAACTTGAAATAAGCTTTTTACTATAAACATTTAATGTACGCATGTAAAACTAATCTTATTGGAAGTTTATTTAAAAAACTCCTTTACAATTTACAAATAGCAAGAGATGAAAAAAGCAAAGCAATCTGATTTTTGTTTACTTTTTGCATTTGCTTTGAGAATACTTCGGAGTACGAGTATTATCGATACTTCGTTGCAAATATGAGTACTGCCATCGATACTTTTTTAGAGTACTCTATATGAGTACTAGTATCGATACCTTTCGAAACAGTTCTATCACTACCTAGGATATCATTTGAAAACTATTTAGGGGTTTCCCTTAAACTACAAAAAGCCTTGAAAACTTCTAAAATCTCAAAACTTTAATTGAGAGGTCAAGATTTGTATATTAATATTCGAAGAAACAAGATTTCAAAAAAACGCCTATATATGTATGTACATCCAAACAGCCGGTGAAAACCTTCGAAAATCTTCAAAAAATAAAGTTCATACATATGTAAATATGTACGTATTTATATACATGCAGATGCACAAAAGCTAATGTTAATCACGTAAATGTACTATCTCCATATAGTACATACTTATGTATGTTTGTATATAGGTACTATATATTTTTTTTTAACATACGAATCATTAAAATCAATTTCACAAAACTCGTTTCTGAACGCTAAACACATTTATTGTTTAATTAACTACATATTGTTTTTCTTTGTTTAGCTTTTGCTTCTCTCCATTTGATTTTTAATCGTAATTCCTCTTTAAATCTTCTTTATCTGACAGATACAGTAGGTGCGATAGAAATATCAACAACGTCAACGGTATTAAATGGGGGAGGGGAAGCTCTGTATGTATGTAACCAGTGTCGAGTTATTGAGTCGCTGAGTTGTTTTTTTTTTCACGTCAATGCCATTGTATTGTTGTAGTCATGAGAGTCTTTTTGGGGTAACTAAGTATGTATGTAGTACATTGCATTGCTTTTGCCTTTTCGTACACCTATGGAATTTCAATTTACACTTTTCATATTACGTTGTTTCTTTTGTCTCTGTGTTTTTTCTGCTTCTGCTCCTTCTTTCTGTTTTCTTATTTTCCGTTTTTTCTTTTATTCTTCGCTTATTTCATTATATGGTGTATTTCTCCAGTTGGAATTTTTCTTACTTTTGACATTTGGCATTTATTTATACAAATACATTGATAGTCCGGACGAAGAGTAACACACTATAAACATGAAATGGGTTGCTCTCTATCTCTCATTCGCATTCCCAGCAATGAATTCGTTCTGTTAAGAATATTGCATGCAATTTATTCTTGGCACAATGACATATTTAGCAAGCTGTTCGTGAATAGCAGCGGTGATTTGAAATGTTATCACTTTAGTATTTGTTAACAGTGGTTGCATTCAACACGTGCATTATGACAGAAAATGAAAATGCATATATGCATGTACATATGTATGTGTATGTTTGGCTTCATTTGTGAGTTCACGCTCACTGTGTGTATGGCAAAATTTCAAATGTTAGAATTAGCTGCGCATTCACATTATGCTCGAGTCAAGGTCAAATGTCGTAATAAATCTTAGGAATTGCGAAATTAATTTTAAATTTGTAAGTGTTTTCATAGGTAGGATTAAATCAGCTCTTATA